ATAAAAGCTTCATGTTGATGTTCTCTGACTTGTAAAGGTTGAAGGTGAAGTGGCTGCACTTGATTTATGTAAAGGCTTCATGTTGATGTTCTCTGACTTGTAAAGGTTGAAGGTGAAGTGGCTGCACTTGATTTATGTAAAGGCTTCATGTTGATGTTCTCTGACTTGTAAAGGTTGAAAGTGAAGTGGCTGCACTTGATTTATGTAAAAGCTTCATGTTGATGTTCTCTTACTTGCTTGAATAGGCTGAAAGTGAAGTGGCTGCACTCAATAGAAGAATTCAGTTGTTGGAAGATGACCTGGAAAGGTCAGAAGAAAGGTTGAAAATAGCTACGCAGAAACTGGAGGAGGCCTCCCAGGCTGCTGATGAAAGTGAGCGGTATGTAACATTTCATTGTAACTAATTTAAAAAAAAAGAAAGAAAATCAAGAATGTGCATTGTTAAAATTCTTTATATAGATTTTTATCAAATGAAGTACAATGTTTAATATAAAAGTCTAATATAGTTTTCATTTATATTTACTGTCCAGGTATTTCTATTTAATAAACAAATTATCAACTTGTTTGAAAAGGGGATGAATTAATTTAGGGAGTTGCGATAACTTAAAACGGACTGTGTAAAAGTATTCTGTCTGTAAATTTTGTTTTGTTGTTTTACACACATGAATTTAAAGCTAGTTTGATTTGTAGTCTACAAATAATTTGAAACTGTGTAAACTCATGGTGAAGTTTTTAATTTTTCCAAAATGTTTTGTAAAGTATTAGTATATGTTAAGTCAGTTTTTTTTTTATTGAGCAATACTTTGAGATGGAATAATTGGTGCTACTATAGCGTGCGGTCTACAAAGATACTATCATTATTACCATTTTAATGATTCACTAAAACATAACTTCTTGCTAAATGATTTATATATATCCATGTTTTTCTTCAGCAAATAATAATAATTTAATAAGTTGTATGTTCCAAAAGAGTACCTTAAATTTAGGTTATAATTGTTCTAGTTTTGATTGTTAGAATTTATTTCATTCCGATTATATTTGCCCCCAAACGTTATATATAATGGTATTTTGTACTTTATTAGTTTAAAAGTGTTATTTATAAAAAAATGGCACCAATGGCAAATAAACAAAAGTTAAAACTGTGTAAATATCTTTGTAGACTGCACTATATATAGTAGCACTGAGTAATTAAATATTGTATTGTTTTTGGAATCATCTGTCGTACCATACAGTATTTATTTTTGCCATAAAGTTATGTATTAGTAGCTACATTCAGAATTTCATTAAAATACCTTGTTAATATACTTTACTATTTAGATTACTTTTCTTTCAAAAGGTACTAAATTTCACTTGCTTTCAGAAATTTGTTTAAAATTCTTGTTAAAAGCCCATTTAATTAATTTTTTGCTGTAGGAAGATTATAACCATTTTATCAAAACCAACAAAAATACCTGTATTGATAACATAGTGTAGAGATTTTATATGTATGCTCTGTTATATAATAAGTCTGATGGTGATGATTTGATTCATTTATCCAAAGTAATAGTTGAAATTAAGATTAAAATATTCAGATTTTCTTTATTTATGCAAATAATTATAAATCAAGCTATTTCCCAAGTTTCTGGACTAGTTTTTAGTTAAATACTAGTCTCCTAAAGAGTATAAAACAACAGTCTAATAAGGAGCAAAGATTGTAATTTATACAGTATCATTTGATTGTGATCAAGCATGCACTTTACACCATGTGGATCAAATATTCAAAGATGCATTTTTGAAGATTGAGCAATTTTACAATTTGTGACAGAAAAACTTTGCTTAAAAAGAAAAAAATGTTCTTAAAGCATTATTCACACATACTTACATTCTTGGAGCCCAAAATATTTGATTACTTTGTATAGATAGGTCTTAATTTGAAAATTGTGCTAATTATATGAAACATTCAGACAAAGAAAAGCCTTGGAAAATCGAACCAACCTTGAGGATGATAAGATGTCTATTTTAGAAGCAGAGTTAGGCCAAGCTAGACTATTAGCTGAAGAGTCGGATAAAAAGTATGAAGAGGTAAGGAAAGAAATTGTGATTTCTTACTGAAAATACTGACTGTTAGGCTTAAATACCTTCATCAGAATTTGAATGTGAATAATTCATTCAAGACTCAGTATTAAGTTTTTAAAATATTCAAAATGTGACTTTTCACAAGATGGATGTTTTTAAATATTTTAACTTTGTTTAGATGGTTGCTGCTTTAAGTTAGTCTGCACTATTTTATGTCTGTGTGCCATTCTATTAAACTATGCATGTGTAGTAATACTCAGTTCACATTCAAGACACTTAACATAGTAACCATGCAGTAGTTAGTTTTTTCTAATTATTATACACAAGTTAAAGGAAAGAGAATAATTTGAGATTGAGCTTAGTCCTTAAAGAAGTGGCCGTGTTTGATTGTCCAATCTATTCATTACTGCTTTACAAACAGCAAGAATTTTTTTTTTTTATAAGTAAATTTATTAAATGCACTCTTTCTATTATTAAACTGGGATTAAACACAAATGGTAGTGCTGCTTTTTTATATTATTGTTATTACCAAACTTATTTTATAAAATAGGCATTTGCTCTCCTCTATAAGTTCTGTTTGTGGTAAAATTCAACTCGTCTTTCCTCGAGAACATATTGCTGTGAAACAGATGGTTTTAATTTTATTGCTTGTTTAGAAGTTGAGCTGTGCCTGTTTTTTCATTTTTTTGTCTTTTTTTTCTCTCAAACACATGCACAGCATGTTTTTAACCCTATGGGCTGTAACTGCAAAAACGTGTCACATAAATCAGTAAAATAGCCATCTGAACCTCATTGTGCAAGGAATGCAGCAGTATAAACATGTTTGCTTATCTCTTGGTTCACTTGCATCCAATTAGAGGAATGTTTGGGGATGCCCTGATTTTTAAAGCCTGAGTCACATTTGAATTTTTTTTCTTTGTGTGTGACCTTAATACAGTGTCAGGATTTTTTTTGTTGTTCTTGACTGTCTGTTTACTAGTATATTTGATAACATGTTTTGAGGAAAGACATTTTAAGGAGGAGAATTAACTATGATGACTTTATAAAGTACAAACTAATATCTTTGTTTTTTTTATAATATAATGTTATTTAGTAAGCACACAAGAACTGAATTATTGAAAATAACTACTTGTTTTATCTTGACATAACATGCACAGCAGCAACTATGTTTTCTGTGGCAACTCCGGTATTGCTTAGTGGTTAAATATAAATGTTAACATGATCTGCATGCAAAAAAAAATAACTTTCTGGGAAATCATATTAAAACTATCATTCTGATTTCTTTAGTATTTTTGAACTGCTTGTTTTAGTATGTTGGTTATTTGCTTGCAGATTGCACAAATAGTTTATCAGTTTAAGAAGTTAAACCTAACGTAGAATGTAACTGAGGAATTGTGAGAATGGGCGGGCTTTGTCAGACACCTGGTGGCCCAGTTGCTTGTTCTTTTTGTTTTACACAGGATCTTCTATTCCAGTATGTTTTAGAATACTAATCATATTTTTTTCTCTGTCCCAGTATAACAGTCGATAGGGCAATTTTCAGGAATATAGAACTGTTATTGTGTTGTTTTTGTGGTTATAACAGTGATGTAGTATTCAGTGTATGGGCTTACCCTAAACTGATTAACGAAAAGGTTTGAGTGTGAATTTTTTACTAACTAATATGTATGTGCACGTATGCATGATTTGTAGATGGCTCGTAGGATTGCTGTGTTAGAAGCAGACTTGGAACGAGCAGAAGAAAGGGCACATGGGGGTGAAAGGTGAGAGCTACAGCAGTTAACATAATGAAAGTTATTTCTAATCTAGATATTGCAAATATTGAATATTTGTCAAAAAGAAATGTAAAATATTGTCAACAGCGATGTCACCCAACTGATGAAACAAGTAATTGTAATCTTTATATATTTAATTTTTAGTCATTTTCAGTTTCTCTCTTAACTAAATTTCTTGCTCTGATCTGAAGTTTATCAGTAGTATTTTATATAGTTAACGTACATGAAAATCAATAGAACATGCATCTGAGAATCAAGTTAAACAGTCGTGATGACATAGGATGTGAACATTACTGTTGACAAATTGATTTCCTAATGATGTTAATATTGAACCTTGTGTTTGTGACTAACTGCACCTCATTTTAGCTAGTTTGATTTTACTACTGATAGAACATTTTCATTCACGTACAACTGTAAAATAAGTTTCAACAGGGTTCCTCTTTGATATTGTAAATGTTATCAATCAGCCACTACAGGAACTAATTTGATGATGGTGCTAGCAGGTCGAAGCATCTTGAAATAGTTAGTCAAGTTTATATTGAAGGTTGAGTTTTCCTAGAAGAAGTTTATTTTAAACTACTTGTTTTAAAGGTATCTAATTGTTAAGCATAGTGTGGTAAATACTAACATAACTCCCAACCATAGGTCTATAAAATGCAAGTTTGTGAACTGAACAAAAATCTCTGAATCAAGTACTGAATCAATTACGGTGTAATGCATTATATTCTTCAATCAAGAAGATATTTTTATTGGCATTATTTTGTTAAGTTGATTACTTTTGGGAAGGGTATGTAATAACCCATTTGGATGCAAAATATTGTAACACTTAGATCATAAAAAATGTGTTCAGATCAAGGACTTAGAATTTCCAAGATTGGTATCCTTTGTATTTAAAGGTGTTGGAAACCAAATGAATATGGATTAACTTGAGTCACCTGGGCCATCCAGAAAGAGACCTGCAAAAAGTCTTAATTGAGTCGTTTTAAGCAAAAAAGACTCAATTGTAAAGAATTCATGAACACAAGTCAGTGGCAAAAGTCGTGCACATGCCCCTGGCAACACTATGTAACATAATTAAGAAAATACTATTCCATATGGGCTGTGGATTTATGAATTGTTGAAACAAGTGCTGGAAAACAGTTTTCCAAAATCATTTTCATATAACATACTCAACCTCTAGATGCATCCCAGTTCAAGAAGGGCTTAACGCTAAATAACTTGGTGTCTTTTCTTCGATAAGGAGTGTTTGTACTAAGTAGATAGATTCACGTAAAGAAAAAAAACTCATCCTGACAAATATGTAATAATAATAATAATAAAAAAATAACTGTAGGAATTTCCAAGATGAATACTCGCCTCTTCAAACAAATACTTTATTTTGCTCTTGAGTTTACAACTACCAAAGACATTTGTAAGCCACCAGTATTGTGAAAACTCGCACCTAATCTCGTGTGAAACCATGTGAACTTGCGCCACATGATGTAATTATGCAGCAGTTCTCTCTACCAGTGGGAATGTGACAACCTCCATGTGCAATAATGTCTCCTACATTTGTACTCTTGAATCTTCATTCTTTTCTTCAGCCCTGTCGTGTACAGACATGTTTCAGTTTTCTAAGATTTGCTACTTTTCAACTTTCACTTGATTGAATTTAGATATAATCGATATGAATTCACAGTTTAATATGAACTCTTCTTCCGATGTTGTTAGTGAAGATGATCCTCACCCTGAACAACTTTGAATAAGTCCATTGAGTTGTAATTATCATGTAGATGAATCAGGCAGGAGGGATAAGGCATAAGTTTATGGAAACAATGTTGATCTAGAAAGGAAATGGCATGTTTAACAGAGTTTGGAGAGAGGAGAAAGACAAAGAAATCATGAGAGGAAGAGAGAGAACTCTCTCTCGTACATACCCAAGTAATAAGGTTTTGAAAAATTCAAAGTAGACTGAGAATGTTCTTCAGTAAGTAAGGACATTCCTAAACAAAATCTGAAGGTAAATTTGTCATCCTCAACTTCAGGCTCGAAGAAAAGTGAGTAGAAGGGACTCGAGCAGAGGTTCCTGGCTGCATCATAGACCCCACCATACTTTGGATAATGGCTGTCAGGTCTTCTACAGATAAAGAACTTCCTACTGAATTATTGGTAATTTGTACTGGGTGAGTAATATCTTGACCCGCATCAGTGGAAGAAGAGTTCCATTAAACTCTAAATTCATATAGAGTATACCTAAACTCAATCAAGTGAAAATTGAAAAAGTTGCAAATGTTGGCAAAGTGAAACATGTCTGTACACGACAGTGCCGAGGAAAAGAATGAGGATTCATGAGTGCAATTGGAGGAGGTGTCATTATGCATCGAGGTATATTGCTGTCCTATTGGTGAAGGCTCGTTTGGGGCTAGGTGGGAGTTTTCACAACACTGGTGGCTTGGAAATCTGTTTGGCAGATCGTGTGAACTCTAGAGGAAAATAAGCTATTCTGTGCATAGAGGTATCTGTTGGAAATACATTTTCAGGTAACGAAAATGTTAACATTTCATGCCATTTTTATGAAATTGGAGTTGTAACGATTCAAAGTCTGAATCCACTGAAACACTGAAAGTTCTATAGTAATTTTTTAACACAAAAAAACAAAATATACAGTAGACATTAATTGTATTTAAGATGTATGTGAACATTAGACACATTTAAAAACTTAATATTCAATTTCTCTAGTAAGACATTGGATTACACTCATACATGTATTAACCTTTCAAACTTAGGACTGATGGTTCAGAGGTTAGTTCAGGTATTTATAGTATTAAAATGGGGGTTCAATCCCTTTGATAAATGCAGTACAAATAACCAGTTGTGAATTTTTTTTAATTTGACAAATTTTGACTTCTAATAAAAACAAAACTTGTAATAAAGATTTTAGGATTTTGCAAATATGCAACGTGTTTCAGCTCGGATTTGTTTAATTTTTCTTTTCTGTCTTGCAGTAAAGTTGTTGATCTTGAAGAAGAACTGCGGATAGTTGGAAATAACCTGAAGTCTCTGGAAGTCAGTGAGGAGAAGGTAGGAATTTGCAGTTCTTAAATAAATATGTTTCTTGCAAAAGATTTAAAGGACTGCTGTGGAAAAGGGTGAATATGTTCTAGGTAAAATTTTAATATATTCAGCTTGTAAAAGTTGATATTTACCTACATAATTTATTAGTGAGTGTATATAAAAAATTTATTTAACTTGCAATTTGGAAAACAAGCACTGCAAAATATAAATATTCTTGATTTTGTAAGTACCTAGTTATATAATTGTTGGTTAAGACTAACTTTGTTATGAATAAATGAATAATTTAGGTTTGTGGAACTTTTTGTCCTTCTAAAACCTACATTTATTTTGAGATGTGAAGCTAAAATTCTACACTTAAGAAACAGTTAAAAAAACAGCATGTCCTATTTATAAGAATAGTGGCTTAAAATATTTCAGCCTATGCATGGGTAAATGAATAAATTCACTTGATCATTGAAGAAAGCTTTTTTTTTGTGTGTGTGTGTTTGTGATCACCAGTTGATTTTAATTCATAGGGGAACCTTAAAATATAAGATTAACATTTTAAAAAAATTGACTGGATATTATTTAATTATAGTCTCGAGACATTATTTACTGAAATAATAAACCAGTATTAATCGAAATGGTTGTTTTCATAAGAGCTAAGACTTTAAAAAGTTTAAAAGTTTCATTAATCATTACTCAATTTTGTTTAGTTTATTTTTGTTTTTAGCTTTTGCAAGTATTTTAAAAGCCTCTGTTCTGTTCTCTATACCGTTTGCTAAAGCACAAGATTTTATTGTCCTCAGAAGCTCTTGTCTTTTGGTTTTGTTAAAAGAATAAAAAGAAAACATCTTTGATTTTGTTTTCTTTTTCCCAGCGGCTTGTCAAATCCCTTGTTTCAGCACCATAATATAAAAGAAAAAAAAAGTTATTGTTTTTCTTCTAGGTATAAATCGTTTGCTGTTTTCACTTCTCTCTCTCTCTCTTTAGGCTCAGCAAAGAGAGGAATCCTTTGAGATACAAGTCCATTCATTGACTGCTAGGCTTAAGGAGGTGAGCTGGTGGAATTTGCTTAAAATATTTTGGGGCTTGTATATATATACTTTTTTTTCTTTTATTATACACAGGCTCTCCAAAAAGAAGAATCATATCATCAACAAATTCGGCAATTGTCAGACCGACTTCAGGAGGTATGGCAAAACTCAGCAGAGCAGAATACTAACCCTACAAATACATCTTCTGTTACTAATCATATAACAGTAGAACCTGTTTAAGTTGTTTTAACAATAGGTTTATGGTTTTGCCTTAACTAACCTGCATACAATGACACAAACAACCTTGTTAGTAGCCAGTATGTTCAGTATCAGCTGAAGGATGGGGTGCTGCCTTAACTCGTATGTTACTTGAGGAAATTGAAACTGACCAAGCTAACAGTGCTGAATGCAGTATCTCTCAATTTTAAAAACTTAAAGTTAAAAATACCTAAGTATTGAAAAACACATTTAATGGTTGAAAATAACAATTGGATATTGGTAAATGGGAGGGGGGGGGGAAACATTCTTAAAGACTAAATTATTTGTTTTGTACTTTGCAGTGTTCTAAGTAACATTACATAGATTAAATACTTTGTATTTATTGTATACATAAAGAAATGGTATATTGTCTATTTCAGACTATTTCTCCCGATGTTGAGACTGAATTTTGTCTGTAAGTTACTATCCTGAACAAACTGGTACAAACATATTTAATGGGCAGTTGTTGTTTAGCTTAGTTATATGTTTTGATACTTTCAGCTGTAATTGTGGTTATAGGTATATACTTGACTCCATTTAGGTGTTTTCTGGTGTAGAGGACTGGATTTTGCTATATGTATCAGGTTTGTCATAACTTTGTTGATAAACATAGATAATGTACTAACAATTATACTTGTGTATAGTAGTTTAATTTTAAAATGATAAAAATATATGTAATAGGATTATTCTCTTTTGTGCAAGGTAGTAAGTGTCGTTATGATATACGGAAGAGGGTTTAGAATAGAACATAGTTTAAATGAAGTGTGTGAATAATGTAGTAACAGAAAAAGTTCCCATTTGTGTTTAGGCTGAGGCCCGTGCTGAGTTTGCAGAAAGATCCATGCAAAAATTGCAGAAAGAAGTAGATAGACTGGAAGGTGAGTATATCTAAAACTGGTAGTTAACACATGACAGAAAGTTTAAGTGTTATGAAATAATTGTATGAAACCCTTTTTGTTTTAATAATAAAGTGTTGAACATTGTACCAGAGTTAGGTTAAGCCAAGTTTCAAATTCTGTCTTTTAGTGAAATTGTTTATTTGTCCTTGTTTGTACGGAATGTTTTCAATATCACTACTAAAACCAGCTGAAGTGAACAGTGTAAGTTCACGTCATTAGAACTACTTAAGAGTGTGTGTGAACAGTGTAAGTTCACGTCATTAGAACTACTTAAGAGTGTGTTACATCTTCCTCTTGGCACTTAATGATATTTTTCAGAAATTGTGATGATTCTGAAGAACAACAATTTTGCCTACAAAAGGAAACTTTGTTTTATGTTCGTCCTTTATTTAGTAGTATGTCGTTTTTAATATCCAGTTTTCAGAACTAGTTGTGGTTCCAATTCTGAAATGCGTATTTGGAATTTAAACTATGATAGATATAATGTTTTGTTTTTTCTTGGTTCTGTAATGCCACTGCACATAACATACTTTTCTAGTTCTTAATTTTGTTTTGTTGTATGTTAACTCAGACCCTTCAAACTAAGCCAATTTGACTGACTTAATATGTAAACATTTTTTTTACACATTTTGTTATACTGAAATAGAAAAAGTATTTTAAAGTACCTATTGTTCTCTCAGAAATGCTGCCAAACTCGTGAATCTGTATGTAAGTATAGTTAAAATACAGTGTTAGGATGCATTAAATAGACTTTTTTTTGTTGTTGTTGTGGAAACTTTTATTTTACATAGACAAACAGTGTTTATAATGTCAGTAGCAGGACAAGAAATAACTTGTATTTTGTTAACTGTGGAACATAGCCTATATTAGAATGTTTGTTTTATTAACTCGCATGTATATAAGCATGTTTAGTGTTGTAACAAATCTTAATTTCGATTGCATGAAAATTTTGGTGTTTGTAAAAATGTATAAATTATAGATTTGAAATAATGTATTTGTGGCTTTAACATCTTAAAACTAACAAGACTTGTCAACGTACTGTTTTTTGTCGTAGAAAACGAGTACAGTTAGAGCAAGGTAAAATCTAAAAATATTATGAAAATGGTTAAATGCTGAAAGAAAATAAAAACCGCCAACATTTTGACCTCTTCGTCGTGTATCAAAACTTTGACCAGTGTTTTTCGGTTTCTTAGTGTGTTTAACAACTGTTTTTTAATAAACTAATAAAATGTTATTTTCAGCAGATGTGCATTTATATAATCTTTTCAGCTGTTAAGAGTCAAAAGCAGTTACTTGTTCTTGTTTTATATTTAGCTTTATTGGTGTTATAACCATTAGTAACAAGTCAACACTAGACTTAACCTTACATCATTATTTCTTGTTTGGTCGTCTTGGAGATTCCGAATCAATTTTACCTCGCTAAGAAAGTATACATAGATTCTCAGAGGACCAAGTTTAGATTCTACTATCAAGAAGGAATTAAAAAAACAAATTATGTATCATGTGTTCCAGATGAGTTGATGGAAGAGCGAGAAAAAAGCCACCTTCTGCAGGAAGAGGTTGAAACAACCTTGAAAGACATTGCCTCCATGTGATTGTTAGGCTTGCAGCATGGTGAAAGGTTGGCCTGCATGATTTCCTTAGCCCCACATTTATTGTTTATGTTTTGGGTTTCAATGTGCATGAATTTAAGTTTACACTTTAATATAACACTTCCACTGTTGGATGGTACTGCATGTATGTTTCTTTATAATTTTGTTTGTGGTTAAAAAGTAGATAATATGAAAGAGCACAGTGTATGTTAGCCTTATTTCTTGTTTAAGTTTTATTTAAGTGCAGGTAAATTTTTTTTTTTTTGCTTTGTTTTGTTTAAGTGTTACACAAGTGTATTCAAAAGCGTTAATACAAAAGAATAACGTACCTCCATATATATTGACTGTTTGTGTTCATATAACTCTAACAGTGCTACCTTCAGCTCGGAGAGGGGACATTGGTAAAACTCCACAATAGTGAGTATGTTGAGATGGAACAGATTTATACAGAAGCACATATCTATTTTGGGATGGGACATAAGTGCTCAAAGGGGTAAACAGTGGTC